GCAGTGCCAGCCTCAACCCCCTCCACCCCTAGGTTTCCTCCGCTACCATCCCACTTCCAATAGGCATTCCTGCATTGCCTCAGAGCTTGATTTGTGCTCAGTATATTCTCCTGAAATGTTTCCCGGAGCATGGTTCTCATTTAGGATCACAACCACTCCTTGCAAGTACATTTGCACAGACAATACATAGTCAGAGGTGATTCAGCCTGTGCAATTAGCCAGAGCCTTGACACTAACCACTTCACTACAAAAAAAAAAATATATATTATTTAATGAAAGGGTTGCGGATAGGAAACCATTCTTCCACTGCTTTGCTGATGAAAGCACACACACAAAAAGTGGCTTATTTAACTACTTGGCTCGTGAGAACCACCAAATGTTGAAAGTTGCTTTGAGTATATGTATTGGATCTGTCTTTCTCTGACTGATGTGAGAGAAGGTTCTGCACAAGTATCCCAGTTCAATTACCGGAACATAAGTGGCAGGGAGGAAATGGGAGTAAAAAGTGAGGGTGAAACCTAGGAATTTTTCAGTGGGTTTGGCTGCAAGCTGGCTGTTCACAGCACCAGAGGCCAAGCTTCGAAAATTAGTAGCATGTGTTCTTCACTGTTTAAATTTTCTGAGATTTCCCTTGTTGTTAGATGGAGGCATCGAATCGAAGGTTTTTAAGGCCCAAGTGCTAGGAACTCTAGCTATTATCTGGGTAGGAGCAGAGGGACCGCAAGGCAAGAAGGGGCTGAAGCCATTGGTTTGAGTCCTACCCAAAGCAAGAGAAAACAAGCTTGCTCCATCTTCCATGTGACAGCCCTTCAGATATTTGAAGATGGCTATTATATCTCCTCTCAGTCCTCTTTTCCAGCTAAATTTTCCCAACTCACTCAACCGCTCCTCATAAGGTTTGCTTACAGACCCTTGATCATCTTGATTGCCCTCCTCTGCACATGTTCCATTTGTCAACATCCTTCTTAAATTGTGGTGCCCAGAACTGAACACAATATTTCAGGTGTGGTCTGACCAAGGCAAAATAGAGTGGTACCAATACAACCTTTGATCTTTTAGGGGGGAGGGGGCTGGGAAATGTGTTTCAAATGCACTTTAAATGTATGGTGTGTACACAGCCTCTATTACTCAATTATTGTGAGTAAGCCTTTCCTAAGGGGGTGCTTCTGTTTCTTGTCACACAAACCATAATCTCCATGGCAGTTGTGAGTTTTGTGTGGGTGATGGTTGCTGAAATGTTGTGGCCATCTAACAGAGCATTCCTGCAGTTCTGCTAGTGGCACAATATCTCCCTGCACAACCTATTTTGTTTATAGTTGCTGTTATTGCTGTTTCCTTAGAGGCGAAGCCATCTTCCACTCTACAACTCAAACTCAAATATGCTAAAGGGCTTGTCTAGCCCTCTGCAGTGCAACCCTGTTCATGCCCGCTCAGAATTAAATCCCATTAAGTTTAATGGAACTTACTCCCAGATAAGTGTGCATAAGACTGCAGCTATGGCAAACACAAACTGAGCCAAAGACCAGCGTTGTTATCTCTTACATGTATTCATACTCCTGCAGCAAAGCACCCCTCCTCCATTCCACAGGCTTCTTTCCTTTTTCCTTCTTCAAAAGCTGTGCATTTTCCTTTTTGCAGTCACCCCAACTGCTTGTCCCGCCACCAAGAAGAGCCTTGTTAATTACTTTTCCATGATTTTTGCAAGTAGAAGTGAAATTTGCAATATTTTGCAACAAGGCACCTCTCCCGTCTATAGCAGGTTCTAAAGGCTTAAAGGAAGATGATGGAGAGAGAGAGAGATGCACATACTTTAGTATTTGCTTCAGAAATTGAGGGCTCAGGTCCACGCTATTTCAGCTCTCTACCAACCATGGTTTCCTTGTGTCTCATTCCACTTTTTAGCTAAACTCTATCTTGGCTAAACTGGAACACCTGATTCCTTCCCCCAACCCCCCCCCTCTTTAGTACTCCTTCTTGCTTTAACTTATCATCCCCTCTATGTGCATTAGAATAATAGAATGGTAGAGTTGGAAGGGACCATGAGGATCATCTAGTCCAACCCCCTGCATTTGCCCAGTGTGGGGCTCGAATCCAAAATCCTGAGATTCACAGTCTCATGCTCTAGAAGACAGATGCGAAAAGATGAAAAGGACCCAGAGAGGTGGTAGGGCTTATGCTCAGACCATGAAATGTAGTAAAAGGCACACTTCGGTCCTTCCTAGACTGGCAGCAACTATGGGATTTTGAAAATTTGCACCAGTTCTACCTATATCGGTACAACCAGCCTCTTCAGAAAGAGGAAATGTGATGACTTGAGTGCAGATCTGGTGGTAAATGAAACCAGCTGTGCAACTTAAGAATATAGGCAGCATCAGCCCAGTTGTGCAAGCATCAGGGATACAGTCCCTTTTTCTCCCACTTTAGTGAGGGGGGGCAATGGGAAAGGTTATTTTACCCTTAGTGATTTCTTTGCATAACACACATCTGGTGGTTATGTGGCACTATAATATCAATATGCTCTCTACTGCATCCCTGATTGGCAAGCGTTGTGTAATGAAGATGAAAGATCCCTTAAAAATGGTGTTGAAGCAGCAGGGCTGCGAACAGGTATGGGGGTGAAAGGGAAGGCCGCTAAGTCAGGGAATTTTCCAAGGGGCTTTTTGCATCTTGAAAGCTGACTTTTCATTTAAAAAAAATAAAAAAATACGCCCATATATTACACACAAGCACACACAAAATCAGTGAAGCTGTATCCTAAGCTCCATTGCTTTGAAAGGAACTAGCAATTTTTTAAAAGTTGGGGTTTCTGGATATTTGAGCTACATTGGAGACAGCCAGCTGGCTCTTATCATTGGAAACCTGCTTGCAAGGGTGAGATCAGGAAGGTAGGAATTACCTGCCTGGTTCATTCCCAAAAAACCATCCAACCTATTATCCTGTCTCCCACAGTGGCAGCACCTGATTGCTTCAAAGCTTGGTGCCAGACTTCCCATGTTTTGGGCAGATGGGGGCTAATCTGCCCCAGGAAGCACTCGTCCAAATGGCCCCATGTTGAAAGCCAGAAGATTTATATCCTCCTCCTTAGTTTGGTCGTAGTAACTCATTTTTCTGGAGCATTTGATCAGAGCTTCCTGGCCTTCCAGACTACAAGTAACCACCGGGACCATGCAGTATCAACTCCTGCACAAAAGAGAGGATGAGGTGCAGAATTTATTCCAAATGAAAAAAGCAAAGCAATCTTGGTTCAGATTTCCGGAACGCCAGTGAGCTCTGCATTGCCCCGATAAGCTGCCCAGTGCTTGTGTACATTAGCTGCTATGATATGGGTATGTCAGGACCATTGCATTGGGGCAGGGAAAGGGGTTAACGCTTCCCTTCTTCATTGTTTTGAAGGGCTCATCCACACTTACGTTTGCTCTGCATTTCCAGGCACAGGTCGGGGCTTTCCAGGTCTGTGTCTGAGCACTCCCCCACCAGCCCCACAATTTCCCCTTTGAAAACCCACTCTTGCCCGCTGAATTGGAGCAGGCAATCCACAGAAAACCTTTGTTCCGATTCAGCATTAAAATTGTAGAATCATAGGATTGTTGAGTTGGAAGGGACTCTAAGGGGAATCTCGGACACAGACCAGGTGGGCGTGGACCTGTTCCTAGAAAGTGTGGGGAAACAGGTGAGTGTAGATGAGCCCCAAGATTAAAATCACAGAGAGAGGGGGGGGGGGAGAGGGAGAGAGAGAGAGAGAGAGAGAGAGAGAGAGAGAGAAGTGGCTGTCGTTTCATTTGTTTTTAATAACACAGGAAGATCTGATACTGCCATCATGCCTAATTTGGCCCCCAGTATTCATGGACTGGCATATGGCCAGACGTTGCTCATAGTTCTCAAGTAGTATGAGCTTTCAGACACCCCAATAAGTCTGCATGTAATGTGGGAAGGACTTAAAGACTGTGATTGCTAGGGCTGCAGTATTGTGCTGCTGTCAGCACTTACCTGAGAACTCCTTGGATCTTACTTCTGAGTAAACTTGTAAATAGGCTTTGCTTCACTGCAGTGGAGCTTTGTTTGCTCAGCTCCAGGTCTGTCTAGTCCCACCCCCCACCCCCCGGTAATCTCTGTTCTTGACCCATCCTGGTGGCAATGAGTCTTGCAGGTTAATTATATGCTTCCGTGGTGACAGATTTATCCTCGGCTTCATATGCACTTTTTCCCCTGGTGCCTGTGTATGAGCTGAGTCAAGAAAAAGCAGGGAGACTCATCTCAAGCCTATGTGCGCTTATTCAGCTTTGGCGGGGGGGGGGGCGGAAATATTTCAGAATGATTTTGAAAGAGGAAGTTGACTTTACACACAAAATAGGGACTTACTTCTTTCTTTCTTTCTTTCTTTCTTTCTTTCTTTCTTTCTTTCTTTTTGCATAGATCCTTTCCCAAGACCCTGAGCTGTGAAACGGTTACTGCCTTTCGCAGCTCAACCTGCAGGAGAAATGATACTCTTATGTGTGAGGAAAAATCCACTTTGCCCCCTGCTGAGCTGCCACTTGATTTGTGAATTAAACATTTATGCTGCCTTAGCAAGCAAGAATTCCGAGGAAGCTTTCCCTCCACCCTGCACATCATTTATAAGAAAGCATTTCGGTTTTTCTCCCACTGAAGCCAGTCAGCGTCTAGTTTCTGGGGAAAGATGAAGCCATGCTGGAATCTGGAGGAAGCAGGTCTGGCAGTGGTCTGAAAGAGGTAGCCGGAGCAGGGGACTGTCAGGAAGCGATCATGTACCCACTTCAAGGTCAAGAAACAGAAAATGAGAGTGGTCAGAGAGAGAGAGAGATGCCCTTGAAAACTCCAGGCAGGTCTCAGGGAAGAGACAACTTGTTCCAAAAAGTGTCAGGTGCTATCTGAGTCCTTATATCAGGGTTTGCTAAATTGTGGCCCTCCAGGTGGTCATAGAATTGTAGAGTTGGAAGGGAACCTGAGGATCATCTAGTCCAGCCTCCTGCAAGGCAGGAATATGCAGCTGTCCTATACGAGGATTGAACCTGCAACCTTGGTAATTATCAGCATCATGCTCTAACCAATTGAGCTATCCATGTTGCTGGTTTAGAACTTGTACCATCCCTGACCATTGGGCTTGCTGGCTGAGGTTGATGGGATTTGGAGTTGGAACAACATCTGGAGGCCCCCAGGGTTCCCCATAAAGTTCCTGAGTCTAAGTGCCTCGCCCTGGCCCCTTCCACTGTTGCTGAATAGTGGGAATGCATAGGGGCATCTTTCTGGCTTGGGTCTTGACCAGAAAGACAGCTCTGTTTCATCTCTTGCTGCATATGCTAGCTAGGTTTGGTGCATGATGCATCTGAGGGCAAGGATTTTGGTTTCTTAGTGGGGTCTGGCTTAGAGGCTGCAGTCCCTGAGGGCCTTGGCCTGGGGTTTTCAGGTTCAAAGGACTCATTATTCTAGCGTACCCTAAGTGCTGGACAAGTTTCTGTAGGTGGTGCAGCTGTGACTCAGTTCACCCATTTCCATCTGGCTCACTGTCCAAGTCACTGGGTCATGGCATTCAGTAACCTGCAGACCTCTAAAACTATCCTCATCCTAGTTCCTTAAAGGTCTCTCAGCTTTAGCCTTCATTTCTCCTACTCTGCTAAAACTGCTGCTGTCCCACCTCTAACCCTGACCCACTGTAGTTCTTCTAAAGCACTTCTATTTATTCCTGATGTTTTAAGACGTGTGTGTGTGTGTGTGTGCGCGCGCGCGCGCGCGCCTTGAATTTCAGGTGACTGCAGCAGCAGGCAAGAAAGGTTTTTGAGCCAGGCAGCTTAAGAGAAAGAACCAGTATTGATTAAAAAGGTGGCAATTTTATTTAATTTTGTTGCTCTGTCAGTAAGAGACATATGAATAACTCGGAATATAACTCTGTCGCTGCGGGCGGCAGGAAGGGAAGCACTACAGCTTTGTGGTAGAATGCATGGTTTCATGCAGAGGGCTTCAGGGTCAAGCCTGGGATCTCCAGACAGAGATGGCCCTGCCTGAAAGTGCAGAGAGCTCCTGCAGCTCAGAGGAGACAATACTGAACTAGATGGGCCAATAGCCTCACTTTATATAAGGTAACTTCCTTGGTTCCTAGAGTTCTCGATCAACTGGGCGGAACCTTTGCCCCGGAAGATGCTACTGCACCACAACTCTCATTGGCCCCCGGGGATGATGGGAGTTGTAGTTCAGCAACATCTGGAAGGCCAGGGGTCCACATCCCTGTTCTAGATGCTGTGATTTTTTCCTGCTGCATTCAGGCCCACTAGTTAGTGATGGCCATCAACTTTGATGGCTTTTGAAGAGGATTAGACAAATGAATGGAGGATGTAGCTATCTGTGCCTATTAGGATTGCATCCTAAGCATGCATAGAGATGTACAGTGGTACCTCAGGTTAAGGACTTAATTCGTTCTGGAGGTCCGTTCTTAACCTGAAACTGTTCTTAACCTGAAGCACCACTTTAGCTAATGGGGCCTCCCGCTGCTGCCGGAGCACGATTTCTGTTCTCATCCTGAAGCAAAGTTCTTAACCTGAGGTACTATTTCTGGGTTAGCGGAGTCTGTAACCTGAAGCGTATGTAACCTGAGGTACCACTGTATATGGAAGCAGGCGCAGGTGTTTCTACTGTGGAGTGAGTCTGCTTCCTCCTACCTTTGTTCCTCGAGGAACACACCCAGCCTCTGGATTCAAGTACTCATTGGTGGCTCTTCTTTTTCAGCCCTCCCACATGCCACACATGGGTTGCCCACTCCCCCCTCTGAAGCAGCTGGCATATGGATCTGATCAAACATTTTTGCGTGCCATTATTATATTCTTGAAGAAGTACTCTGTTAAAGGCAAAGCATAAAACCAGGATTTGCCTGTGCTCAATCCAAGAGAGGAGGCTGCACATCTGTCCAAAAAATGCAGTGTGTATGCCTCTCCAGCAGCCTTAACACTAAAATCATGTATATTTGTAATGACCCTTAAAAAAATAGCAGGAGGGGAGTGTCCTTTTTCTCTTGTATGTGAAAATTCATTTTGCGCTACAGCAGGCAAAACGAAACATTAAGGACTGAAACAGGGATGGGATAGTGCATGGGTTACGTGTGTGATTCCAGGACACCAACATAATGCAAGGCAAAGTTAACACAACACTGCAAAAATAATATTTAAAACCGTTGGGGAAATTCTAGCTTCCTAACAAGTTCTGAACTTTGCTTCATGTAGCATCAAAACAGTTTATTCTACATTCCAATCGTCTAAATCAAGAGACAAAGAGATGGGGGCATTTACTTAAACCAGGAGTAGGCTAAAATGCAATCTCTGGGTCTCTTTTGCCATCTTGGACTCCTTTTTACCTTTTCAGTCCCTTGTATCTTGCAGGTGTAAACTTGACAGCGCACCTTCCCTTGACAGAATGTACATGGTGCTGTTTCTCTCCCATGTTGTTCCTTAGTTTAACTTGGAGGTGGGGAGCCTGTGACCCACCAGATGCTGTAGGACTGCAACTCCCATCATCCCTGACTATTGGTCATCTGGGACTGATAGGAGCTGCAGTCCAACAACATCTGGAGGGCTGTGAGTTTAACTCTTTAGGTCCCAAGCTTGGGTAGGTTTCAGATGGTTATTTACTGTAGTGATTCAGAATGTCTTCTTGGTATTAGAAACATCCATTCAAGGAAGCTGTGTGTGGTTGTTGGGTGTTAGGCTGTGTGTGAGCAGGATGCACACACATGAGTGAGCTGAGCTTTGGGGAGTGGGCTGCACATGTGAATGTGTTTGGCATAGGATATGGCTATTCTCTGCCCTATCGCATATGCATCATGGCACCACCTGGGCACCCAGCCAGGGCATCCTTTTTGTGCTCTTTCCACCTCTACACATCCCTGCTCATCTCCTTCCTCAAGATGCCCACCCCAAAGCTGCACCCCACCTGTTTTTGCATTGTAACAAATAGATCCCAACTTATAAGGTGCCCTGCACTCTCTGGTTAAACCAACACCCAGCAAACTGCTATGATGGGCCTTATGCACATTTAATTCTTTAACAAAGAATCACCAACAGTTTGAAGGGAAGAAACTGATTAGCCAGAGTCTATTCTCTGAGTACTCTGGGTGTGAGGGATGTAAGCCAGCGTGCTGAGCCAACCAAGTATGGAGGAATCCCAAAGAAAACCTTTGTTGCCTAGTGGTCCCTAGGAGACCTCATTTCTGTTCTATGGGGGAACTCTCCACAGATCTTGTCACCTCTCACATCCCCTTCACCAAGCAGCTAGGGTGACTGCTGAGTCCCAGGCTCCGAACCATGCTCCACTCTGCCAACTAAGACATAATTGCTGCTCAAAGCCAACCTGCCTGCTGAGAAGCCACCTGTCCTATGTCCTGGCTGCCCCCCAGAGTTGTGACTGGAAGTGCCCTTTGCAGCCAAGGTCATGCTATGCTCTTCATGGTCTTGAGAGGAGGCTACCCTCTATTGGCGCCTTGCCATCACAAGGTGTTCTACCCCACGATCCAGGTGCATATGCTCGCAGGCAGATGTAGCCTTAATTAGTTACAGAATTTGTAGGCTTGCAACTTTCTGTCTCTCTAAAAAGGAAGAAAGGAAGGGGTAACATATGGACACATGTGTCCCTGTGCTGTGCAACCTTTGTTAGAATCATCTCAGCTTCCATCTCAGCTTCCGCTAGTGGGGAAGCAGGGGGAAATGTGACCAATTTTGTTTGTGTTTTTTTTTAATTTAAAAAACTGTCATAAAGAGGCAAGTAAAAAGACACCCCAATCCTTCGTTTTTTAAAAAAGTGATTTCTAAGCCTGTATATAAGTTTTATACAACCTGCCTCAGTTTTCCACATTTGGGGGCAACAATTTCAGAGTTAAAATGTTATGAAATAAGTGTAATGTACACTTTCAGCAGTTTGGCACCCATTGTACATTTAAATCATGTTAAATGCAACCAAGTAAGCAATTTGGAAATATAAATGGGAAGGCTGCATCTGAATGTGAACAAGTTTCTCACCCCTTTTTCAGACGTACTTTGCTACAGCACAGTGTCTAAATATCCCAGTGTCTAAACTTGGACAAAAAGCCAACCCTGTATAAAGGGAGAGGGCTGTATGCATGTGAAAGCTAGCAAAGCATATCTGAATATTGGTGCATGTGGAAAGCATTTGTGCCCCTGGACCTTGCTCGCTTTTCAGCTTTCTACATGGGAAAGTGCCGGCCAACAAGTTAAGTTCCCGGTAACAACCAGAAACGCGATTGGTTTAAGGTTAGCCAGTTTATGGAGAAGATAGGATCCAGTTAAGTACTTGAAAGATACGGAAGTTGCATGTGTTGTACAGAAAAATAAGCTAGAGGGACACAGCCCCCGTGGAAATCTTAGCTGCCGATTGGCAGGTGGTAGATTTTGATAAAGATTTCTGGAAGTGAACAATTTCCCTAGAATGGTTTTGTTTTTTTCTGTTGTAGAGTGGTTGCGATAAAATATACTTACTGTTAATATTTAGCATAACTTAGCAACAGCTGCAGCACCATAATGTGCTGGGACAGCACAACTGCACTAGCAACCCAAGGAGTGTGCAACCCAAGAAACCTACCCTAGGAAACATTGTCAGTTGTCCAGTGGGTACTGTACACCTCTTGCCACAAGTGCAGCTGTGCACAACTGCCAAAGTGGGTCCTACCGCATGCTTCACAACTAGGAATGTGTAACATAGGTGGCACAGAAATGGGGGTGCGTGGTAGAGCCCGCCTGAAGTGAGCCACTCGCACCCAACTCATCATACTGTCCTGGTTCCCTGGCACCACTATCTTCACTTAAAAGAGAAATATGCAGGAAAGAAGAGAGGCCCAGCACACCTCTCCCATCTTGCAGACTGCCACAGTCATCTGCTGTACTAAAAGAGCTGCACTGGTTGCCAGTTCATTTCGCACGTTGATGTTTAAAGCCCCTAAATCAGGGTTTCCCAAATTTTGGTCTCCAGCTGTTTTTTTGGACTACAGTTCCCAAAACTAGCTAGCTAGGGATGATGGGAGTTGTAGTCCAACAACAGCTGGAGACCAAAATTTGGGAAATGAGTCATGCCCCCAATATCTGAATGACTGCCTCCTTCCCTATAGACCTTCTTGGTGCTGAGATCGGCAGAGGGGGCCCTCTTGGGAGTTTCTCTGCCCTCAGAGACTGTGTGTGTGTGTGTCCGTGTCCTGGGGGAGGGCATTCACTGTGGTGGCCCCTAAGCTGTGGAACGCTCTCCACACAGAGGTGTGTCTGGCACCTTCATGATACAGCTTCCAGAGGTTGTTCTTTTTACCCTGGCTTTTGACACTTGAGATATGTATTTTGGGGACCTGTCTTATTTTTATGGTTGTAACTTGAATTACACAGTTTTTCATGGTGTGTTTTTTAATGTTGCAACTTGCTCTAGGACCTTAGGGTGAACAGCGGGAAATGAATGAATGAACGAATGAATCTTTCCCAAAGTAGCCCTCAAGGTAAACCATCTTCCCCTTAGGAGCAGTATAGCAGGACTAAAACAAGACCCTTTAAGGGGTCTATTCAGCACTCAGCACCCCTTCCACCACCTTTCATGGAGAGCAGACTTTCTGCTTGCCCATCCCAACATTTCACCTTGCATGGTGGGATCCTGAGATGCAGCTTTTGGGCCACCGATGCAGCGAAGGAGCAGAAAAACGACTTGGTCGGGGCTTGACTGTATAAACATGAATGCTCTTCCAAAGAGCATGGCAAGAGAAGAATGAAAGTGTGGGAAGTCGTAGCCTGACAAAGGAGCAACAAGAATGTGTGATCAGAAATCATTTTTTATCAGATCGTAAATTTATAAGCTGATTCTAGACACCTAATGCTTACGACTTTATATCTTTGTGTACAATTTGTTTGGGTTTGTTTGTATTTTTGCTTTTATTGATGTAACCCAGCCTGTGACCTTAAGGGGGATATAAATCCCAGTGATAAATAAGTACATGATGGCAGATGGCAGGGCAAGTGAGTCTATAGTGATCGGATAATAAGTAATTTTAGGACTGAGGTTTAGAAGAGAGGGAAAGGGCTTGAACTAAGGGTGGGAAGAGGAGAACAGATGAGCTTGCACCAAAAACAAGGGGGAGGGATATATTGCTGCAGCTTCTTCCATTTTGCCTTCTTTTAATTTCCCTCTCGTTGAGTCTCATTTGTCCTCCCTATGTTACACTTTACATGAAGAGAAGGATAAGCAGAGGCAAGAGCAAAACAAGGGGGAAACAGGCCGCCAGAGTGGTCATTCCAGGGGCTTGAGGAATGAAGGGGAACTATTTACATCCCTTAAAAGGTAAAGGGACCTCTGACCATTAGGTCCAGTCATGGCCGACTCTGGGGTTGCAGCGCTCATCTTGCTTTATTGGCCGAGGGAGCCGGCGTACAGCTTCCGGGTCATGTGGCTGGCATGACTAAGCCACTTCTGGCAAACCAGAGCAGCGCACAGAAACGCCGTTTACCTTCCCGCTGGAGTGGTACCTATTTATCTACTTGCATTTTGACGTGCTTTTGAACTGCTAGGTTGGCAGGAGCAGGGACCGAGCAACGGGAGCTCACCCCGTCGCAGGGATTCGAACCGCCGACCTTCTGATCGGCAAGTCCTAGACTCTTTGGTTTAACCCATAGCACCACCCTTGTCCCTCATTTACATCCCTTAACTTGCTTTTATTGGGCACCATCAGAGTTTGTTCTCTTTCTCTCCCTCTCTTAGTTTGGGCATATTGTTTCTGACTGCTGTCTTCTCAAGAATGTAGTTTAGAGGTTCCACCCTAAGAAAGGCTTCTACTATTAATGCACAGGCACACACACTTGCAAACACAAAACTGTATACAGTATTTTTGTTTTATCAGAATTACTGTGTCCCCCATCAGATTCACAGGTCCACTTCCTGCCAACTGCACTGTTCTTATGTGCCTTTGACATTGTGTTGTATTAGTATTAGTGTGAGGTGTCAGAAAATGACCATATATTTATCTTGAGTTGTACAGATGTCTAGAACTCTGAGTCCTAGCAGATTCCTTGGCTACAGTGCTGCCACAGGATTCCTGCTTACCTGGAGCATGGATCCCTTTGCCATCCAGTGGGAACACAGGGATGACAGCAAAGGCATGGTTTGGATTTGTTGTTAAAAGCTCAGTTAAAGTGTGGGGTTTGGGGCATGGACAAGGATACACAAATACCCTTGTGAGCTTGCTGCTAGCGAGTCAATCTTCTGCTCTCACCAGAGCACAAAATCAAGGAGAGCCTCCCCACTCCTTTCTTTAGTTCCTGGAGAAGCTTAGGAGAATGGCAGGTATTCTCTCTGGTTGGGCACCAAAACTCAAAAGCACTTGGAGAACTATGAGTCTTACTGATGCATTCTGGGCATTCTAAGGCATAGTCCAGTGGGTACATTATACAGTGGTACCTCGGGTTAAGAACTTAATTCGTTCTGGAGGTCCGTTCTTAACCTGAAACTGTTCTTAACCTGAGGTACCACTTTAGCTAATGGGGACTCCCGCTGCCGCCGCACGATTTCTGTTCTCATCCTGAAGCAAAGTTCTTAACCTGAGGTAGCAGAGTTTGTAACCTGAAGCATCTGTAACCTGAAGCGTCTGTAACCCGAGGTACCACTGTATATCCCAGCCCTCTCCTCAGCTGTAGACAAGAATAGGAGTTTACTCCCCACCCCCACACACAGTAGTGCTCAGTACCTCAAGCTCAGACTAATGCCAGAAGACTTTGTTCCCTCCCTCTGGAGGGGAGGGATAGGGTCATGTTGAGAACAAATATTTTGGTGTTTACCAAGGCAAGCTCAGATTTAATGACCCCTGGGCCTGTATGGGTATTGTAATTCTAAGGTGTTGCTTTAGGGCAGGGATAGCCAACGTAGTGGTTCTCCTGATGCCACTGGACTACAGCTCTCATCACCCCTCATCATGGACCTTGCTGACTGGGACTGGTGGTAATTGGATTCCAACAGATAGCTCAGTTGGTTAGAGTGTGGTGCTGATAACGCCAAGGTTGCAGGTTTGATCCCCGTATGGGACAGCGACATATTTCTGTTGGGGGGAGGGGGTTTTGAACTAGATGGTCCTCAGGTTCCCTTCCAACTCAACCATTCTGCTGGTTCTATGCAAGCATCTTGCAGGGAGGGGAAGCCTCATGCTGGCTGTCCTTTCATTAAGCTAGTGAGTCTTAAAAATCACACCAAGTGGATTGCGGGAAGTATGGTCTACCCCTTAGTATAAGCATTATAGACGGCACACAGTTCTACTTGTGGATCTTCTGCCATATGCTATATCATTGGTTCCATTTTTCCACAAAGCTTTCCTGAGCTAGGCAGAAGGTAGTGTGTTTTCATAATACTGACAGATATGCTCCCCTTCTTGGGAAAGTTGCCCTTCATTTTCTTTGTCTTTTAGAATGATCACAGCACCATTTTGTGCATTATATCCTGAGACTTTGCAGATAGCTCTACAGTTAGCGTGGGAAGGTGATCGAAAGTAAGGCCAGACTCACTGCGGAACCAGACAGAATCCTCTTTTTGTTGAGTTTCCTTTTTTGTTGCTGCCAGGAGTTAACACGTAGGGGTATATGCTAACCTAGAAACAGCCAGCTCTGTGACCTAAGCAGCCAGCCAGTTTGAAGGAGCATTTGCCTGATTCCTGTCTGTTCAACCCTTGACTTGCCTTCTGCTCTCTGGGGCTCTTAGCATATATACTTTTTTCACTGGGAGGCCTGGGGCAACTCCCATAAATCTCTCCTTTGCCTACAGTCCCTCGCGACGTAAGCTGCTAAGGAGCTTCAGACAGCTCTTCAATAAGGTTGCTATTCTGAACCATTTCCTGAGAAGATGTGCCGAGGTTTGTGGCAGACTCTGTTCATATTGTAAATCTGTAAGTGCCTGCACCCTGTTTGTCCGAAAGCTGCGAAAGGCAGCCGCACCCAGCACAATTTCCACCACATCAGTGCCATGTGGCACTTACAGAGAGCTTTTGTGGGGGAGAGTTGTGTTCCCCCAGGACCCCACAGTGCATCAAAGAGAAGTAGAGATGCATTTTCTTGATGGATGGAGTGTGTGTATGTAGACAGAACTGAGAAGAATTCAAGCCCCCGGACTTACACTCTGCATTTTTCCGATGACTGCTGCACCAGGAAGAATCACCCAATAAAACTCACTTAGAAGCATCTCTGCCTGGCAGGGAAAATTCTGCCTTTGAGCCTTGGAAGGCAGCCCAATTGCAGTGTACCCCACATTCTGGCTGAACTGAACATGGGATTCACGTTTATGCTGCACAGCAAGCGAAACCTAGCACAGGTGGCTTTGCAGCTGACTGGCACATCTACCCTGGGCCTTCCAGTGCTTTAGCAGAAAGCAGTTGGGGAAGCTGGGTTGAGTGGAGATGCGGGACTGGCCTAAAAGCCAGGGGTCTTTCAATGCGAGGCACATCTGTAGAATAGGCATAAAAAGCCTTGGCCTTCCTGAAATCTGTAGGCACCTGAGAGAGAGGCTGCTACCTCAGGGTCTGAGCACAAGAGCTCTGTCCTTTCCTTTTTTTTTTTTTAAATGATATTTATTAAAATTTCAGAGAAAAAAAGAATTACACAAAAACAAAAAGTAAAAATACAAGAAAAATACAAAATACAAACTACAGAATAAAAGAATAAAACACACTTAAAAAGAGAAAAAAAAGAATAATGGATCAATCTTTCCATAACTTACATTCATATCCTTGTTTCCCTGACCTCCTCATACCTCCCTTTTTTGTATTCCAGTTCAATTAGTTAAGTCAGCAATTTCTCTCCCTCTTTGTTTTCTCATGATCCTTTAACTTAATATACTATAACTTTAAATTTTCATCGGTTATCAATCCTTTTTTACATACACCTTTATAGCATTACTGCTTAAACCACCTAGCTTCATTCCAACATCATTCTAACATTCATTAATTTTGCAATATTTCTGTAAATAGTCTTTAAATTTCTTCCAATCTTCTTCCACCGACTCTTCTCCCTGGTCTCGGATTCTGCCAGTCATTTCCGCCAATTCCATGTAGTCCATCACCTTCATCTGCCATTCTTCCAGAGTGGGTAGGTCTTGTGTCTTCCAATACTTTGCAATAAGTATTCTTGCTGCTGTTGTGGCATACATAAAGAAAGTTCTGTCCTTCTTTGGCACCATTTGGCCGACCATGCCCAGGAGAAAGGCCTCTGGTTTCTTCAGAAAGGTATATTTAAATACCCTTTTCATTTCATTATAAATCATCTCCCAGAAAGCCTTAATCCTTGGGCACGTCCACCAAAGGTGAAAGAATGTACCTTCGGTTTCTTTACATTTCCAACATTTATTATCGGGCAAATGATAGATTTTTGCAAGCTTGACTGGTGTCATGTACCACCTGTATATCATTTTCATAATATTCTCTCTTAAGGCATTACATGCCATAAACTTCATACCTGTGGTCCATAACTGTTCCCAGTCAGCCATCATTATGTTATGTCCAACATCTTGTGCCCATTTAATCATAGCAGATTTCACCGTTTCATCCTGAGCTCTGTCCTTTCCTAGGTCTGTAAACAATGGAGAAGAAAGCTTCTACCTCAGGGCCACCCATGCAACAAGTTCACGCTGATTTTCTTAGAGACTTCCCTGATCCAAGATGGGTTGCAATAGGAGCACTACCACCATGAAAATATATGGTGAAAGACTAAGAAATAGGTCTCCAAATCCATGTGTTTTTTTGTTTTTTTTAAATAATATTTATTGATAATTTCAGGATTACAAGAAAAAGAAAAAATAAGAAACAACAACACTACAATACAAAAAAAGAGAAATGCACAAAATATAAAAACCAATACGACAATACAGCAAAAGAAAGTAAAAAAGAAGAAAGGAAAAAAAAACACAAATCCCAAATTGCATATCCATAATTTCCATTTGCTTGTTTCATTGACCTCCTCACACCTCCCTTTTTGTATTCTAGTTTAATAATTATTTCAGCAAATTCTTTCCATCTTTCTCAATTTTTGTTATAAAATTTATCTTAACAATTTAACCTAATAATTAACTCAACAAATCTTTTCCATCTTTCCCCATATTCTGTTATTCAAATTTTCTTAATTTATTTAACCTTATCTTACCCCTAAGTACCTTAAAACTTAAATCTTAGTTTTCAAATATACATAGTTCCTGATAACATTTCTGCTAGAGTCGTATAGTTTCATTCCCACATTTTCCCTAATATTCATTAAGCTGATTCTAAAATAAAAAAATTCCATTATAAATTCTCTTTCAATCATCATCCAGCGTCTCTGCTTCCTGGTCTCGGGTCGTGTCAGTCCTTACTGTCCATTCCGTCTAGTCCATCAACCTGGAAGCCTTATGTCCGAGGCCCTTAAGTCTCTTCCATGTCCCTTCTGCAGTTCTTCTTCATCTTGTTTGTGCTTGCCCTTTTCCTTGTCTTTTGTTGGTCTCTGTCTTAGTTTCTTTCCTTTCTCATTGAGGAGTAGGTCTCTGGGGGATTCCAACCCAAAATTGTCTCCATCACCCTTCATCCAGCTCGCCCATTCCCCACAGTCCCACTCCCCACAGTCCTCGATATAATCCAAAATGTATTTAAAATCAAATTTCAAGATCTCTCCAAAGCTAGGAACCTCCTCATCTCCAGATTCCCCTTGGCCCACTCCAACTTCAGTCTTCAATAACAGCGGCTTATGCTCCTGTAGGGCCTCGGGTCTCTCCATTTGTACTATTTGAGGTGCAACCACATCCTCCTCCATTGTCATCTGCACTTGCCCAGTAAGTACAGATTCATAGGTTGGTTCCTGAATGATTTCTGTATCAATGTTCCCTGTTTGTCCACAGTTATTAACCACAACAGTCAAATCCATTTTCTCATTCATCAAGTCCATCTTCTCATGCATCTGTTCCAGCAAAGCATTTGTCTTGCATAAAGCAAGCACCCAGTCTTCCTCCCAGCTCATCTTTGTTCAAGGTCAGAAAAGACTGTTCCCACAGTCTTAATCTCACAGATGTTGGGTCTCAAATATACTACAGCAACAATTTAGCAAGCTCCCTCTAGAGGAGACAAACTATTTGTATCCATTTTTTTTTTTTGAAGACAAAGGAAAGTTACTTTCATTTTTCAGATATTTCAGATGTTTTTCAGATATTTTGTTTCTTTAAAATGCAAAAGGCAACATTAGAATCAACTTGTTTCTCTTCATTAGCTATCTGTCAAAGTATTACGTTCACAGTCAATGAACCTCTCCAACAGTTTCTGTCTCTGACACCCCGTTCCCAGGTTAGAGACGGTGGAAACTTATCCTTCTTCACTCCCTCTCCTGCTAGGGTTAAACAGAGTCCCCCCCCCCTTTTCTCCTGCTTCCAAGGGGGGTTTCAATAATTCTAAATGAAGGAAATTTAGTCTTTTTTGACAGCTTCCCGGCTTTAGCTTGCAAAATTTTTGCTTTAGTCTATATACAAAAAAGCGGAAGGCGGACTTCCTGTTTGCACCTTCCCGCTTCGATACCAAATTAAACAATTTCCTGATCCAATTTTCCGTTTCTACTCACGGGTACTTGTTTTAAGTCCAATTGTCCGCAGGAAAAAGTCAGCGCTCTCTGGCAATGGCTGTGCGGCTTCACTCCGTGAAAGTAGCAGTCAGTTCGTAGCACCGCGCTTCTCATCCCACTTCGCTCCGGAGCCCCTTGATGGGATTCCCCGCGAGTAGGGGGGCGCTTCTGGTGCCCTGCCGAACCCCACGTTCCCAGGCTTCCTCCGCCTGGGATTTCTAGCGGGTCCCCACCTTCGCCGCAGCGGGAAGACCCAGTTTCCACGGAGCCCGTTCCTCCGGTCGGAGGAACTCCGCCATTCACCAATGGCGCTGACCCGGAAGTCCTCCAAATCCATGTTTTGGTTAAAAGTGGGTCCTGGGTCTGAAAAAGTTGAAAATTCCTGCTCTAGAGGCATCCCAAGAATCTGAACCAGAACACTTGCTGTGTTTGCTGCTGAACACCACGATAATGTTGTTTTTGGACTGACATTT